GTAGGTTTCTACCACCACAGTTAAGATGATGATGCCTCATGTCTAATTGCTCCAGCACCATTTTTTGAAAAGGCCATCCTTCGGGCTAGCCCCGTGGCTCACTCGGGAGAGTGCGGCACTGGTAGCGCCGAGGCCGCGGGTTCGGATCCTATATGGGGGTGGCTGGTGCACTCACTGGTTGAGCGTGGTGTAGACAACACCGTGCCAAGGGTTGCGATCCCCTTACCAGTCCAAAAAAAAAAGTCATTCTTTTTTATGGCATAGTAGTATTCTGTTGTATAAATATACCACATTTTCCTTATCCACTTGTCTGATGATGGGCATTTAGGTTGTTCCAACTCTTGGCTATTGTAAACAGAGCTGCAATAAACATGGAAGTACAGGTATCCCTTCGACATGATGATTTCCATTCCTTTCGGTATATACCCAGAAGTGGGATTGCTGGATCATATGGCAGTTCTATCTGTAGTTGTTTGAGGAACCTCCATACCATTTTTCATAATGGCTGCACCGTTTTACAGTCCCACCAACAGTGTAGGAGGATTCCCCTTTCTCTGTATCCTCACCAGCATTTGTTATTCTGTCTTTTTGATAATAACCAGTCTAACTGGAGTGACATGATATCTCAGTGTGGTTTTGATTTGCATTTCCTGGATGCTGAGTGATGTTGAGCATTTTTTCATGTGTCTGTTGGCTATTCATGTATCTTCCTTTGAGAAATGCCTATTCAGTTCTTTTGCCCATTTTTTAATTGGGTTACTTGTTTTTTTATTGTTAAGTTGTTTGAGTTCCTTGTATATTCTGGATATTAATCCTTTGTCAGGTGCATATTGCGCAAATATTTTCTCCCACTCTGTGTTTTTTTGCTCTGTTAATTGTTTCTTTTGCTGTGCTGAAGCTTTTTAGTTTGATATAATCCCATTTGTTTATTTTTTCCTTTTGTTGCCTGTGCTTTTGGGGTCATATTCATAAAGTCTTTGCCCAGTCCTACTTCCTAATGTGTTTCCCCTATGTTTTCTTTCAGGAGATTTATAGTTTCAGGACATATATTTAATTCTTTAATCTGTTTTGAGTTGATTGTGATATATGGTGAGAAGTATGGGTCTAGGTTCCTTCTTCTATATATGGATTTCCAATTTTCCCAGCATCATTTATCAAAGAGGCGGTCTTTTCCTTAGTGTATATTCTTGGTGCCTTTGTTGAAGAGTAGTTGGCTCTAGGAATATGGACTGATTTCTGGGTTCTCTATCATTTTCCTTTGGTCCATGTGTCTGTTTTTATGACATGATCCTATATATGGAGAAGCCTAAAGACTACAAAAAAACTCTTAGAGTTGATGAACAATTTCAGCAAAGTTGCAGGATGCAAAATCAACATACAAAAATCAGTAGCATTTTAATTCTCCAACAATGAACTAGCAGAAAAAGAAATCAAGAAATCTAGCCTATTTACAATAGTCACCAAAAAATTAAAATACTTAGGAATAAAGTTAACCAAGGATATGAAAGATCTCTATGATGAGAACTACAAACCACTGTTGAGAGAAATTAAAGAGGACACAAGAAGATGGTAAGGTATTCCATGCTCTTGGATTGGAAGAATTAACATTGTGAAAATGTCCATACTACCCAAAGTGATCTACAGATTCAATGCAATCCCAATCAAAATTCCAATGACATTCTTCACAGAAATGGAAAAAGCAATCCTAACTTTCACATTGATGGAGTTTGGATGTGTCGTCCCCTCCAAAACTCATGTGGAAATTTGATCTCCAATGTGGCAGTGTTGGAAACTGATTGAGTCATGGGGGCAGATCCCTCATGAATGGATTAATGCTCTCCCTGGAGGAGGGGGGATTAATGAGTGAGTTCTTGCTCTATTAGTTCCCACAAGAGCTCGTTGCTTAAAAAGACCCTGGCACCTTCTTTCTCTCTTTTGCTTCCTCTCTCTTGCTTCCTCTCGCCATGTGATCTGGTTGTACCCACCGGCTGCTGCCACTTTCTGTCATGAGTACAGGCAGCCTGAGGCCCATGCCAGAAGCAGCTGTCCCAGAATCATAAGCCAAATAAACCTCTTTCCTTTATAAATTACCCAGTCTCAGGTATTTCTGTTATAGCAACGCAAAACGGACTAAAACACACACGGAACAACAAAAGACCTCAAATAGCCAAAGCAGTCCTGAGTGAAAAAATAAATAAATAAATAAAGCCAGAGGCATAACACTACCTGACTTCAAATTATACTACAAAGCTATAGTAACCACAAGTGATTTTTGTATGTTGACCTTATATCCTGAGACTTTGATAAACTCACTTTTTAGTTCTAGGAGTTGTTTGGTACATTCCTTGGAATTTTCTACATAGACCATCATGTCATCTGCTTTGTCTTTAGTTGTCAATTTTGGTATGTCTGGGAATGGATTTATTTGGCTTTACCTTATTTGCATTTGCTGAAATTCTTGACTACATAGCTTTATGTCTTTAACCAAATTGAAGAAGCCATCTCAGCCCTTATTTATTCAACATTTTTTTTTCTGTACTGCACCCTTTCTCCTCTTCTTCTGGGACTTTGATGACAGCAGTCTTAGACATATTTTATTGTACCACAGATCCCTGAGAGTCTATCAATTGTTTTTCAATCTTTTATTCTCTATGTTGTTCAGATTGGATAATTTTTATTTTTCTATTTTCAAGTTCACTGTTTTGTTCCTCTGTTATCTCCATTCTGCTATTAAACCCATTCAGGGAGTTGTGTGGATTTTTAAATTTTTGGTTATTGTATTTTTCAGTTTCAAAATTCTATTTTTCTATTTTCTATTTCTTTCTAAGACTTCTAACTCTCCATTCATTTCGAAAGTTTTTGACCTTCTTGGAGCATTATTAAAGTCTTTGTGAGATAAATATCTTTGCTATCTAGGCATTGGTGTCTATTGATTGTCTTTTTCCATATGAGTTGAGATTTTCCTGGTTTTTTGTATGCTTAGTAATTTTAGATTGTAAAATTATGTTATAAATCCTGTGAGTCTTACTTATGAGTCTTAATAGCATTCTAAGAATATTCTTTGTGTGTGTGTGTGTTTTAGCGGGCAATTGATTCAGTTGGGCTCAAGCTTCAAATTCTAACTAGTCTTCTGTGAGTTGTCATTCTAATGTCAGTCCAGTTTTCAGTCTTTGCGGTGCTATTTGGATCAGTCTTTCATGTATGCCAATTGGTGTCCAGTTTGGGATTTGAGTGGTAGTCTGTTCCACAGTTTAGTTCTCAGAGTATATGTATGTGCTGTTTAGGGTCAAACAATGCATGTACAGCTCAAGGTAAGCCTAGGAATTCATAAACATTTTTATGGGCTTGCTTTCCAGAGCTCCTTCCTTTCCATGGTCTCTCTTGCCTTTTCTGGTTCCTTGCGGCTTCCCTTGAGGTCCTCCAGCTAGAAAACTTTATTTACCCTGCTCAGCTGCACTCTTGCTATGACTGTGCCCATATCTACAGCCAATCAGCAGGAGGACTGAATGAGTATAAAGCAGTTTTAGGCTCTTATGGGGTCCTGGTGTCACCATTGCCACCACTGCCACCCCTGTCACATTCCTTAGGGGCTGGAATGCACAAGAATGGAAACGAATAAGAAAAAAAAAATACCAAAAAACCCCAGAGACTTTCCTCCACTCTCTCTTTCCTGTTTCTTAAGAGGGCTCCTTGAGCTCTCTGTCTGGGCCGATGCTTACTTCCAGCTATCAGGCTAGGTATAGTTCACCATGGGGAATAACGAATAAGAAAAAAAAAATACCAAAAAACCCCAGAGACTTTCCTCCACTCTCTCTTTCCTGTTTCTTAAGAGGGCTCCTTGAGTTCTCTGTCTGGGCCGATGCTTACTTCCAGCTATCAGGCTAGGTATAGTTCACCATGGGGAATAGTGGAAGCAAATAAAAGGATAAACTCACCATCAGTTCAGTAATAATTCAGATTTTGGTCTTCTTCTATGATCTTCCTGCTACTATTTACTTTTCAGAGTTCTCGAATAGCTGTTGCATGCATCCTGTTTAGGTTTTATGACTGTGTTCAGTGGGAAAGACAGGGGGAGGTATGCTTACTCCATGTCACCTGGAATGAGAATCCATGTCATCATTTTTGTTCAACTCCTTAATTAACAAGGAAATCAGAAAGATGTTAATACTGGTTCAAAAACGTTTGAGGTGCAAGATATTTATATCCAATTTAACTAAAGAATATTAGAAAAAGATTGCTGAGTTACATACTGAACTGGCTAACATCCTACAGGACAACGAACTGTAACCTTTAGGAGTATCTTTTCCATTGATAGAAATTATTTACATCTCTATTAGACAAAAATCTACATGTTACCTAGTAATTCTCTAAGTCTTGAACTTTTGATTAATAGTAAACAGTATTCTTACTGTTTCCTAAGTAAATTCCATTTTAACTAAGTACAGAACTAAGTACCCTTCCCTCGATAAGCCTTGCATGAGTCTTTGCTCCTGTATGACATGGAAGTAGTGTGCCATTTTATTTTGTGTTTTTGCTTTATTTTCATGTTTAGTATAATTTTTCTTAACAACAGTGATCCAGATTCTTCTTGCAGAAGGTCTCAACTGAAGCAAGAGATGATATAAGATTGGCTTAGACTCTCTAAGGAGGCAATCTAATTATTCCCAACTCAATACATATTTATTACATATACTTATTATGTATTATGTGCCAGGCCTCTTGCTAGGCGATTGGGCAGAAATCCAATATCTAATGTTCATAAGATATATCAATCATATAGTGTTCTCTTGACAATTAGTTTCTCCTGCATAATATAGACTCTGTAAAACCCTATCATTGTCATTGAAAATGAAAATTTCAAAATTATGTATGGTATGGTTGTTGAGGTATAAAATACCTTATTTCTGTGATGCTCTTCAGATGAACTCACAGCACAGTTAGTGTTTGTTCATTTAGTTAGCAGAATATGTGATTTTGATTTCTTTTGTTTACTCCCAAAGGAAAGGCAGAGGAAAAAAAGAAGAGGAAAAAGTGAAAGAGGAGGAAGAGGTTATGATTGTACCAAAATTGGTTGGCGAAGGAAGCTCTGACAAAGAATGGTGCTGTCCCTCTGACCCTGATTTCTGTGTTTATGTGTCTGAAGTAACCAAATCAATACTGCCCATAATCAGTATTAGAGAACAGATTGAGGTTCTTGCAAAGTAAGTTGTCTATATATACATATACACTTTTAACTTCTGAAAAATTTTTATTATAGTGGTTTGCATATTTCAGCCAATTCTCAGATAAAAATGCACCATAATAAAATTGAACTTTATAACACCCTAGCTCTGACTCTGAAGGAGAAACACAGTGAATTGAAAAAGTTCTCAATGTCTATATCAGGTCATAGTTTCACCAAGAATCAGAGGTAGGAGCTGGAAATTGCTTAAAGAAAAATGTCTGTCATTTTCTCCAGCTAAATCATTGAAAGCATCTTTCATTGTGATCCTGAAAAAGTTATGAATGAGTCAAAAATTTGAAAATTAAATTATTCCTTAGGTATATGGGGTGCTCCTAAAAAGGGATTCTACTGTGAATTATTTGTAAATTCACAAATTATTTTCTAGTACAGATAACCATCTGCTATTTTTCTGTTATATGTCTGATATTTTGTATTTTATTTTATTTTATTTTATTTTTTTCTTTTTTTTTTCAAAAGATGACCGGTAAGGGGATCCTAACCCTTGACTTGGTGTTGTCAGCACCACGCTCAGCCAGCGAGCAAACCGGCCATCCCTATATGGGATCCGAACCCGGGGCCTTGGTGTTATCAGCACCGCACTCTACCGAGTGAGCCACAGGCCGGCCCAGTATTTTATATTTAAAGTGGGGTGTGAGCATTCTAAGAGATGGCTGCTTGGACAGGCTCAGGGCGTATAAGCCAGCAAAGTTGCCCTTTTCATTAGAGTGTTTAATCTAACTCCACTAAGGGAAGGCTGAGAATTTAATTGGTAGCTGTAAGGGATTAGTAACCACTAGAAATGGAGGATAGGTTTCGTGATTGACACCACCCAGTAGCTAAGCTGCTGGCTTGTGCAACAGCTGTGGTCTCCATGGGAGCTTGTATCTACTCCAAATAGAAGCAAGCTGCACTCGTCAAACCTGGATGTGACAACTGCAAGTAACACAGCTGCCAGATCATTGACTTCTTGTCAGCCAGTACTGGAAGAGAACATTTTTTGGCTACTGAAGTTTTCCTGATGTCCTTGAGAAGTGATGACTCAAGCAGAACTCGGATTCAGCTCTTGTAAACATTTGTCAGATTCCCTTATGCTTTGTTCCTATCAGAAATACCTTTCATCATTCCCAAGTGAATGTCTTTTTTTTTTTTTTAACTGGAGTCCACAGCAAGCTCGATAGATGGAAATGCAGAGATTTGCCCCCATGGTTCCTTGGCACTCATTAGAATACCCATTGCTGGATGAAACTGCAGGCCAGTTAAGCAGCTTTCTCCCCAGCCCTTTGGGTTTTTTTTTTTTTTTTTTTTTTTTTTAACCATTGTTCTTTGCTTAGTTTCACATACAGTAAGAGGAAATCCTTTCTGTAAAAACTGCAATTTTGCCTTTACTCCAAGAGCATGGTGGCCTTATAGTTCACAGAGGATTTTTGCAGGTGTGTTTACTGACTTCTGCAGTGAGACCTGATATCAGGAGAAACCCACAGGCAAACTATACCACATTCATTGTGCCTTGTCCATGCGTCTGTTACTTTTTTGTTGTTCTTGACTCTTCCTCCTCCTCTAACTTCAGTGTTATGTAATGCCATGTCTTCCTCTAAATTCAATAAATAAATAAATTCTAAAAGAGAAAAATTAAATTATAAAACTTGAAAATATTTGTGAATCTAATGGGAAAATTTTGTTTATCTCTTAGTTTAAATTCCTTGAAAGAACCATATGTTGTTAGTACAATGCCTTAGATTTCAGCTTAAAACATTTAAAAATACTTTTCAAGAGTAAGATAAAATTTTAAAACTGCATTAATATTTAGTGGGATATTGATTTGTATATTGTCATTCATATTGGAAAAATTAGCAATTAGCATTCTTTTTTTCTTCTCCTTGAAATTGCTAGAATTTCAGTTTACACAAGATGGTTTGAATACAGTAAGCATAATTTTAACCTGCTTATTGTAAGTACATTTTTTAAAGTAAAGCAAACAATAAAAAACAAAGGAAATGTAGTTTTTATATGTATAATTGTATGTATAAAATTATACTCAAAACATTCAAAATTAGATATTAAAGTTGATCTCAATGTAATTGACACAGGTATGTGGCAGAAAAAATGGGTGGTGAGATTTCAAAAGAGAAGCTACATGATTTCAGCTGGCAACTTCACATAAGTGAACTAAAATTTCAACTTAAGTCCAATGTCGTACCAATTGGATATATCAAAAAAGGAACCTTCTACCATCGAGCTTTGCTTTTCAAGGTATTTAAGATATTTTGTCTCATTTGCCATAAGGTAAAAATGTTTTGTGTTTATCATATTGGAGTGAGTCAGTGCTAACATTTAACTGGATAATATTAATCCTAGTATTTACATTTACTTGTATTTGACATAGATGTGTACCTATGTATGTGTACATACACCTGTGTACATACACACATGCCTGATATATAATAACTAGACTGTTGGAAGCATATTTATTCAGCACTTATCTAACACCTATATAGGCCACATCCTCTGCCAGGGCCTGGGAGTACAGAGACACTAAAGTGCCAGTCCTTGCACTCTGGGGTACCTAAGCCAGACTTATGGGTTCCAAGGTGATGTCAGAGAAGGTTTCAGAGGAGGAAGGGATACTAATCCAAGTATTAGATCCTCTGCCAGGGCCTGGGAGTACAGAGACACTAAAGTGCCAGTCCTTGCACTCTGGGGTACCTAAGCCAGACTTACGGGTTCCAAGGTGATGTCAGAGAAGGTTTCAGAGGAGGAAGGGATACTAATCCAAGTATTAGAGACGATGTAGGATTTCACCAGGTAAAGAAAGAACACAAGGGTATTCCTAACAGAGCAATCATCTTATGCAAAATAACACAAGTGTGAGAGTTGTGCTCCATTTGGGAAATGTAGAGTAGTTTATCTGGACGGAGAAAAGAAGAGGGGCTAGATGAGGCTGAGGGGCCGGATCATAAAGCACCATGCGAGTTTGCACTTCTCTCAAATCCGAGATTAGCCACTGAAACTTGTCAAGGGAAAAGGCTAACATTCAGGCAACAGAATGGGGAATTAGAGCAGGGGCAAGACTGGGGCCAGGAAGGCCAGTTAGAAGGTTACTGGAGCAGGACTAAAGCCGGGCCATGCAGATGTAGAAGAGGGGATTGATTTAGAGAGAGATTTGGAAGATATAGCCAAAAGGGGTTGGTGACTGCCTAGGTATGGTGTGAGAGGTTGCATGAAAAGAATGAAATGACTTCCAGGCTTTGGGTAGGGAAGCTGGGGATGGCATTATTCACTGAGCTGGGGACACTAGAGGAGGATCAGGTTGAAGAGAGGGATGAGCTTCTTCTCCATTGTATCCAGTGCCTGGTATATAGTAGGAGCTGGGAAAATGTTTTCTGAACTATCGACTGAATGTCTAAAATTCCTACCCTCTCCCAAATACCTGTAAACTTCATTGCGTCCATATGTATCTTACCTCCAGTTCCAAGCAAATTCTATTTAAATCCTTATGCCAGCCTTTCTTATTTCCTTGGATTTCTTGTTCTGTCAATTCTTCCTTCTATCATGTCTTAAATCTCCTTCTATTAGCTGTTTCCCCTTTAAAATCTAAAACATGCATAAGCTGCAATATTTAAAGAGAAAACAAATATTTTCTCATGATATCTACAGTAACTATTATAGCTCCTATCACCATCATTTTGAGCTATATTCCAGGCACTTGATAAATACAATTGTGAAGAGTCTCAAAAATACCAAAGATTGAGATTACTACCTTTGCTTTAAAGACAGGAAACCTGGGCTGGCTGGTTGGCCCACTTGGTTAGAGCAAGGTGCTGATAACACCGCAGGATCAAGGGTTTAGATCCCCTTACTGGCCAGCTGCCAAAAAGAAATAAATAACTTAAAAATAAATAAATAAAAATAAAGACAGGAAAACTGATAATTGGAGAAATCATATACCCTAGGTCAACCAGAGGTGGCGCTGGAATTGGAACCCATGCCTATGTGAATCAAAAACCTACCACACTGCTTCTACTACTTTTATAATTCTCATTTTCTGTCAGAATTCTGCGTCATCTCAACTCCTTGTCACTCCTTGGCACACCTCTCATTTTTCTCCAAAGTCACTGCCATCTGGCCTTTGCTCCAGCCTCCTCAATAAAGACCATAGTGATCTCCTCATTGTCCTGCTTAATATGTCAAAGAATTAGTTATTGACCATTCTCTTTCTTGGATACCACTCTCTTTAGTTACTTTTATCCTCTCTTGCCATTTCATCTCAGTCTCTTCTGGAAACTTCTTTTCCTCCACCCCTCTCTTAAATATTGGGGATCCTCAAAGTTCTGACCCAGGCACTCTAATTTTCTCACTTTATGCACTTCACAATAGTACCTAAATATCTGAGGTCTACAGTTCCTTTCCTCCTCCCTCAAACCTCTCCTGATTCCAGATCCATGTATCGATCGTCCTCCAGCTAGCTCCATATGATCGCCTCGTAGGCACTATATCAGTCAGCCTGGGCTCCCATAGACTGGGACTTGCTTAAACAGCAAACATTTATTTCTCACAGTTCTGGAGGCTTGGAAGTTCAAGATCAAGGTGCCAGCAGATTGGGTATCTGGTGAGGGCCCATTTCCTGGTTTGCAGACAGCTGCCTTCCTGCTGTATCCTCATACAGTAGACAGAGAGAGGGCTCTGATCTCTTCCTCTCTTTATAAGGGCACTAGTCCCATCATGGTGTTCCACCCTCAGGCCTCATCTAAACCTAATCACTTTCCAAAGGCTCCACCTCCTAATACCATCACACTGGGGGCTAGGGCTTCAACATATGAATTGCGGGGGGGGACACAAACATTTAGTCCACTGCANATAATAACTAGACTGTTGGAAGCATATTTATTCAGCACTTATCTAACACCTATATAGGCCACATCCTCTGCCAGGGCCTGGGAGTACAGAGACACTAAAGTGCCAGTCCTTGCACTCTGGGGTACCTAAGCCAGACTTACGGGTTCCAAGGTGATGTCAGAGAAGGTTTCAGAGGAGGAAGGGATACTAATCCAAGTATTAGAGACGATGTAGGATTTCACCAGGTAAAGAAAGAACACAAGGGTATTCCTAACAGAGCAATCATCTTATGCAAAATAACACAAGTGTGAGAGTTGTGCTCCATTTGGGAAATGTAGAGTAGTTTATCTGGACGGAGAAAAGAAGAGGGGCTAGATGAGGCTGAGGGGCCGGATCATAAAGCACCATGCGAGTTTGCACTTCTCTCAAATCCGAGATTAGCCACTGAAACTTGTCAAGGGAAAAGGCTAACATTCAGGCAACAGAATGGGGAATTAGAGCAGGGGCAAGACTGGGGCCAGGAAGGCCAGTTAGAAGGTTACTGGAGCAGGACTAAAGCCGGGCCATGCAGAGGTAGAAGAGGGGATTGATTTAGAGAGAGATTTGGAAGATATAGCCAAAAGGGGTTGGTGACTGCCTAGGTATGGTGTGAGAGGTTGCATGAAAAGAATGAAATGACTTCCAGGCTTTGGGTAGGGAAGCTGGGGATGGCATTATTCACTGAGCTGGGGACACTAGAGGAGGATCAGGTTGAAGAGAGGGATGAGCTTCTTCTCCATTGTATCCAGTGCCTGGTATATAGTAGGAGCTGGGAAAATGTTTTCTGAACTATCGACTGAATGTCTAAAATTCCTACCCTCTCCCAAATACCTGTAAACTTCATTGCGTCCATATGTATCTTACCTCCAGTTCCAAGCAAATTCTATTTAAATCCTTATGCCAGCCTTTCTTATTTCCTTGGATTTCTTGTTCTGTCAATTCTTCCTTCTATCATGTCTTAAATCTCCTTCTATTAGCTGTTTCCCCTTTAAAATCTAAAACATGCATAAGCTGCAATATTTAAAGAGAAAACAAATATTTTCTCATGATATCTACAGTAACTATTATAGCTCCTATCACCATCATTTTGAGCTATATTCCAGGCACTTGATAAATACAATTGTGAAGAGTCTCAAAAATACCAAAGATTGAGATTACTACCTTTGCTTTAAAGACAGGAAACCTGGGCTGGCTGGTTGGCCCACTTGGTTAGAGCAAGGTGCTGATAACACCGCAGGATCAAGGGTTTAGATCCCCTTACTGGCCAGCTGCCAAAAAGAAATAAATAACTTAAAAATAAATAAATAAAAATAAAGACAGGAAAACTGATAATTGGAGAAATCATATACCCTAGGTCAACCAGAGGTGGCGCTGGAATTGGAACCCATGCCTATGTGAATCAAAAACCTACCACACTGCTTCTACTACTTTTATAATTCTCATTTTCTGTCAGAATTCTGCGTCATCTCAACTCCTTGTCACTCCTTGGCACACCTCTCATTTTTCTCCAAAGTCACTGCCATCTGGCCTTTGCTCCAGCCTCCTCAATAAAGACCATAGTGATCTCCTCATTGTCCTGCTTAATATGTCAAAGAATTAGTTATTGACCATTCTCTTTCTTGGATACCACTCTCTTTAGTTACTTTTATCCTCTCTTGCCATTTCATCTCAGTCTCTTCTGGAAACTTCTTTTCCTCCACCCCTCTCTTAAATATTGGGGATCCTCAAAGTTCTGACCCAGGCACTCTAATTTTCTCACTTTATGCACTTCACAATAGTACCTAAATATCTGAGGTCTACAGTTCCTTTCCTCCTCCCTCAAACCTCTCCTGATTCCAGATCCATGTATCGATCGTCCTCCAGCTAGCTCCATATGATCGCCTCGTAGGCACTATATCAGTCAGCCTGGGCTCCCATAGACTGGGACTTGCTTAAACAGCAAACATTTATTTCTCACAGTTCTGGAGGCTTGGAAGTTCAAGATCAAGGTGCCAGCAGATTGGGTATCTGGTGAGGGCCCATTTCCTGGTTTGCAGACAGCTGCCTTCCTGCTGTATCCTCATACAGTAGACAGAGAGAGGGCTCTGATCTCTTCCTCTCTTTATAAGGGCACTAGTCCCATCATGGTGTTCCACCCTCAGGCCTCATCTAAACCTAATCACTTTCCAAAGGCTCCACCTCCTAATACCATCACACTGGGGGCTAGGGCTTCAACATATGAATTGCGGGGGGGGGACACAAACATTTAGTCCACTGCAGGCACCTTAAGCTCATGATGCCAAACTGAATTCATTACTCTTATACCTCAGCTAAGTCATGCAATTAGTTACCTAGAACTCTCCCACTGCTGAAACTCTGAACACCAGTACTCACTGATGAAGTACTTTCCACCCTTCCTAAGTCTTCCAGTCCCCCTATATATATTCTTTATCTCTCCCATTTTCTTCCAGTTTCTTGGCCCCTGTTTGGCTTTACTTTCCACCCTAGGCAGCCTAGATAAATCATCCGCAGCCCTGATAATTTGCTCACTAATTTCCCTCATTGCCTCCCCGACCCCCATCCATCCATCTGTCTTGCCAGCCAACCCGGACCAATCCTATTGGCTGTCCTTTCCAATCTCACATGCAGGCAGAACACGACACTGCAGGGTGCCACAGCAGACTCAGGGTGTCCAGACTCGCGTGGACATGCGTGTTGCCTGGCCACCCTTGTCCTGCTGCTAGCACAGGCTTTTTGCTATTTTTCTCAGCAGCTGTGCCCCACGTCTGCCCCTCTTCCCAAGTCCTTTCATCCATACTGCTTCCCTCTAAGCAGCTGACCTTGTGTCCCACTTCACAAAGAAAATAGAGAATTTCAGATGGGTGCTCACTCAATTCAGTCAGAGGCAGTATTACCCCAAGGTTAAGAACTCAGGCTCTGGAGACAGATTCCCTGGCTCCCACTTTAGGTCACCACTATGGTGACCTTGGAAAAATTATCTGACCTCAGTTTTACTCTCTATGAAATGGGGAATACAATAGTATCTATTCCACAGGGTTGTTTTGATTATTTAAAGTGCCCTGACGTGGAGTAAGAGATCAATAAATGTTATTTTGGAAAACATCTTAAAATTATATATATTTGTTTTTGTCTCTCTACCCTGCTGGAGTATGAGTGCCTTATATTCAGATACAGTTTGTGTTATGGTTGACTCTTTACCAGGCAGTCTCAGACTAATATGATGTAAAGCCCTAAAAATGACAACTGTCTTAATCATCTTGGTCCACCCAAGACTAGCCGGTGCAGTCATTACATTGTAAGTAATCAATAAATTAAGTTAATCTATAAACATACAGATTACTAAAACACCACAGTTCTTGCCTTCTGGTACTATGCAGCATTTACTGAGTACTTACCCTGCATCAGCATTCACTGCTGCAAGCACTTGGCACGTATTAATTCATTTCGTCTTCATAACCACCTTTGAGGAAGGTGCTGTGTTCTCCACATTTCACAGATGCAGACGTGGAAGCCCAGAGATGTTGACTCATCTGCTTGCAGTGAGCGGCTCACCGCCTCGGGGCTGAGTCGAAATTCAAACCCAGGCAGTTTGAGCTCTCTTATTCACTGTGATGTGGCTACGTTTTCAGATTATTTTAAATATACTTTTTAAAAAATAACCTCAAAATCAGGAATCGCCAAAAGGCAAATTGAAGAGACAACTTCCAAGGAACATAAGCAGTGCAAGGACTGACCACTCACAGTTCTGCTTCTCCTGCTCCACAGCACCCATCTGTTACACAGGATAAATCAGCTAGAAATAGGTCCCCACCAATTTGATGCCTCCATTCATTCCCGCTGCATATCACAGCCAAAGAGCAGCCCAGAAGTGTGGAAAGATTGATAGATGCACTAGTGCTGAGATCCCTTGGAATAGCTTTTCTCCAACTACAGTATCAATCTTGTGCTGATACAGTGTCACTTCCTGAAAAATGTCATGTCCCAGCAGGACCTACACAGAGATTTTGAGACTACAGAATCTTGAGGAACAAGGAATTTATCACTTTTGATTGGCTCCCATCACGATTTCCACATTTTCCAGCCTCCTACTTAGGTATTTCTTTGCAGGAGTTGTCAATTTCACCTTCAACCATGGTGGGGTTTACAACTACGGATTTTTCTCCACCCTCTGCCTCATCACCCTTAGCTGATCTCTTGTTTTCTCCCACAGGCTCTGGCAGATAAAATCGGTGTTGGCAGCTCTCTAGTTCGAGGGGAGTATGGCAGAGCTTGGAATGAAGTCAAGCTGATGAACGAATCTCGTAAAGGAGTGATTGGGGGCCTCCCCCCTCCTGAAGTATACATTGTCGACCTCATGTTCCATCCAGGTGGACTGATCAAGTTAAAAAGTAGAGAGGCCGACCTTTACAGATTTCTTTAAACCATCAAATAAACACATGGAGGGTCCAAGAAATTCACTGTCTACACTTTCACAGAAGTTCACCAATTGATTTTATTTATTTCAATAAAAGTATTAAGAATGTTCCGTCTGTGTAGTAACAAGGAAACTTGGATTGAACTTGGGCGTGCTTCTGATGTCAGGTTTTTGGCAAGAGTTCACAGTCTTATTAGGTAATTTTATGCTCACCGTTCCTCACATAAAGCTTACTATTGTTGAAATTAATCCAGCCCACTGTTTCCTAAGGAGCATCTCTGTAGTTTAGGAGTCTTTTAAAAGCACTCAGCTGCTGCTCCTGGGACAATACTGTGGCCTGGTGTCTGTCATTTTTTACGCCCAGAACGCTTCAGGAACACTTGCTTACATAAACTCAATGGGTTTTTAATGTCTTCAGTCACCTTGTCTCACTTTTCATTAAATAAGATTTTGATAGTAGTTTATTTATAGATCTATTTTAGTATTACAACTTTCTAAAAGATTTTGTTCATATTTTAAAAACTTATCAGTAAGAACTCTGTTTTAATGTACTTCACTGAATTAAAAATATTTAAAAAATATTTTCATAAAATGTCTTTGTCTTTGTTTTGTCTATATTAACTTGGAAATATACCTTCAGTTAAAAACAATTCTGATTTGCTCTTACACATTTTAATGCTGGGTCACCAAAATATTATTTTAAATTTATATAACTTAAAAATTCTTATTTTTTGGAAAACTTTGAAATATAAAAATAGAGCAAATCTTTGCCAGGGAATTGTGTTTTCAGTATTGAGCACAAAATGGGGAGTAAATATGCATTCCAAATGGTAAGACAAATAAAAATTAGTAATATGATGAATTTCATAAAGTCATTTATTTAGAGTTTAGTATTTCCCAGTCAGGCTTTAAATTTAAAGTTTGCCATTTTCCTAGAAGGAGTTTTAAAGGGAGTTTAATTTTAGAAATTAAGGCTAAGATTATTTTGTAATTTACAAATTACCAATTTGTACTTTCAAAGAACATAATTCTTTATTTCAGAAGGTGTGGTAATTATATTTATCGTGCAATTTTATGAAATTCAAGCATGGGTTATAGGATACAAACCAGTCTCAGCATTTTCAAGACTTTTGATCCAGAAAGCATTTAAAGTAGATTTGAATGATATATAAGATGTAACAATATAAAAAGAAATGAAAAACAGGCATAAGTAGGAAAGAAAGTTCAACAAGATCAGGAATAAGCTTAGAGTTCAAAGTGCATCCGTAAAAATGCTATGCATTTGTTAGAGGTGAATGAAAATTTGACTCTCAACTCTCTAGGAGCCAGAACAAAGGGAATTATTGTCTGTTATGTGATTTATACTAGGGTCCACTAGATAAAAGCTCAGAGCAGTTTCTCTGGGAACAAAGACCATTTCTCTTTGGGAGCTTCACAGAGATGGCAAAATGTAATGTAGAAAATAACATTTTCAAAAATTAACCTCCTAATAAATTCCGAAAAGAATTTTCATAGGCCGATGGCCTAACATCAGAGTGAAATTAGGTAAAATTTCTATGCAGAGCTACATGAGAGAGCCCAAATAGACACCACTTTTTAAAATCTGGTACATGCAAAGACACTTTTTTTTTTTTTTTTTGGCATTTTTCAGATAAATCTACATAATGTTTCTCTCAACTAGGTTCTAGATAATTATTGAACAGGAATGGTTTAAATATTATTCTCAGATAGGACTTTGAAGTTCATTCTGTGTTTTTGTTTTGTTTTTTTGCAGCTGGCCAGTATGCAGCCATTCTGTTTCACCAGTTAAGTACAGAGCCATAAAATTTTATATATATTTTCTGTTTTGATTCTGCACTAAAAGTTTATGCTGCACTTATAGTAATTACACATCAGATTTCAAATGTACTATTTCCTTGCCAAATAAACAGCATTTTCATCCATGAAAAATACTTTTCTAGAAGTTCAAAATAATATGCAAAATGAAATGGATACTGGCTTTTTCTTTTTATTGAGACAGAATTCTTATAAACAGTAACTTGTTTCTCAGCAAGATATCACCATAATATTCTGCAGGAGATGGTGTATTTTCCTTTAGCACCATTCAGAGAAAGGTTGTAATGCACATACTGTTTGTTTTTAAACTCAACTGAATACTAGGGGTTGTATAAACTGACTAAAGAGTGGAAAATACCATTGTTGACATATTCTTAGAGCAATACGATAGTGTCAAGTCATTTATTTAGGGTTTAGTATTTAAGAGTACTATTCTTTATTTAAAATTTCCTAAGTATAATACAGTTCACTAGTAAAAGCTTTGTTTAGGTGAATAATATTAAAGCAACGAATATAATTAATAATAAAAGTGGACTTCAAAGGACAATCATCAAAGAGTCAGGTGTGAATATATAAATATAGTGAATTCAGCTTTTGTGGAACTCACACAGTACAAGAGACCTGTAGGATGTGCCAATAAATAAGCCACAAATCACACGTTAAATAATAAAAAAAATTGTTGGAAAAGGTAAAAAGAAATTATTGTGATGAGTTTACTTATTAATTCAATAAGCCTTTAGTACTGAGAGGCAATATAATAAACAGTGGTGAAAAAGGCCAGGGTTTTAGAATCAGAGCTGAGATTAAGTTCTGCCTCTCTCTTTTTCTAGCTGTGTGACCTTGAGAAAATTATTTGACCTCTTTCTCAGTTTACTGTTCTGCAAAGTGGGGATAAATAATAACAGCAAATATTTACATATTGTTTACTATGTGCCAGAGGCTGTTTATGCAGTTTTAACCCTTCCAGTAACCCTATGATGTATAGGTAGTATTGCCCACAGTTAACAAGTGAGAAAACTGAGGCACAGAAAGGTTAAGTCATCCAAGATCACTCAGCTAATAAATGGCAAAGCTTTAAATTTGCACCTTCTTTGGCTCCAGATGCTGTGCTCCCAGACTATATGTCCCATAAATCTGCCATAAGGATGAAATAAGACCGTGCATGTAAATGACAGGTGGGGGTGGGGGGCAGGGGGTGGGCACACATATATGTGAGTGTGTGGGTGTTTATAGTTCTCTATTCTATGCTCACATATGTTCTGTTCTGTTTGCCTTTAGCTAGTTTTGAGGAAGATCTTTATTCTTCATGTGTCTGTCTTTTTGGGCTTTGCAGGCCATACAGTCTCTCTCTCAGCCACTCAGCTATGGTATTGTAGCACGAAAGTACCCATATATAAAAAATATGGAGACAATTAACCTGTATTTACTAAAACAGGAGGTGAGCCATGTGATTTGGCTCATGGGCCACAGTTTGTAAACCCTCACTTTAGAGGATGAGCATTTTGAGGGTGTGGATTTGCAGAAACAAGGGAGACCCATGCTGCAGAATTATCTCCCAACAGCTTCATCAGTTTTAATAGAGACAATCGATACATGGTTATGTGAATTTACCCTAGCCAGTATCCCTATAATATATAAGTATATAAATATAAATATAAATATATATATATATTTTATAAAAATTTATTTTCTCTCTCTCTCTCTCTCTCTCTGTCTCCCTCTCTCTCTCTGTGTGTGTGCACATGTGTATATATGTACGTATATTTCTTTTTTTTTTTTTTGATGGCTGGCCGGTTCAGGGATCTGAACCCGTGGTGTTAGAGTTACAAGGCTGTGCTCTAACCAACTGAGCTAACTGGCCAGCCCAATATATACTTATCATCACATAAAAAAGGTCACAATAGATCAGTTCAATGTCTCATGGGGCCAATTCTCTTTCTCTGGCAGCACCAAAGGCATATTTGTGAGAAAATATGGTTCTTATCCTCAATATTATCCTACTATATCACCCCACTAATCTTTTGTCTACAAGTTCAAGTCCAAATTCAGATCCAGCCTCACTTCTTCCCTAAGTGTCCCCTCATTAGGGGACTTTTGCTCTACCTTCTAGAATAGTGTCTTCAGCACTTTTGCATATGCTTACTGTCTGGCATTGCTATTTTCTTAATGCACATGTATATTGTATAGTGGTTAGTGTAAGGCCCCATAGAAGACCCCAAAGGAGGCACTCCCTAAAACATGGCGCTTTTCTCTTCCAGGTCCTAATCTCGTGGGCGCCAAGGTGCAGCCTATCAGAAATCATTACCCGCCCCTGGCCAATCAACTACCGCCCCGTGTACTAACCACCCTCTCCCGGAACCCG